CATCTCTCTGAACTGGTTGCCTATAATATTAGCAAGGTTGTGGCCAAAGTTTTCAATGCAAAATTGTGTACATCAGACATTCAGCACCGTCATCCTTTAAGCCTAGAAGTTTGACAATGGCATTTGGAACATCAGTGGAATCATGCTCAACATTCCAAACACCATTTTCAAACTTCTAGGCTTAAAGGATGGCAGTGCTGAATGTCTGACATACACATTTTCACATTGGCCATAACCTCATTATAGTTTTACTGTTATGGGTGCCAGGACTTGGGATTTCCAGCAATTAAGTGCTGATTTACTAACCTAGCAGGGTGCTTCTTACCCTTTTATTGAGACCAACCTTCTTACCCTTAGTATTTCTTTTAATATTATTTTTAGAGGTGTTAAAGATTGGAATATTTCTGTCATATTCACACAGTGGTATAAAAACTCCTGTTTTAAAGTAGACCAAGGCATTTTTGTCTAGCTTGTCTTTTGTGTTAAGAATGGGTTGTTTTCGTTTTTGGCAAGAATTATGTTTGCTTTTCAGTTGACATCATGACAACTTTGGTCACTTTTGTAAACATTTGTACGAACTGCATTCTTAGCATTTTGCTGCTTTTGCAATTCTGTCAGCAAGACATCTCTGTATCTCAGTTTTGTGTATGTATACCTAGGGACATCCCAATACCACAAAAGTATTCATACCAATATCAATACTGGTATCAAACTTAAAGTATCAATAACAGCTAGTATTGGCATCAGATATTGAGGCTGGAAACCTTACTGGCTATCACTGTTCTGTGTGTGGCTTGATTTTGAAACATTTTAGGTAATTGAAACTTTTAATTTTAACATAAATAACATGGTTGTTGTTGTTGAAACCGTGTTGTTATTTATGTTTGTATACTGGCACAATGAAGTGACCTTCTTTGAAAGATTGAAAACTGAAAGATTGAAAACTTGCCAAGTGTTGATAAAGAAGGTCACTTCATTGTGCCAGTATACAAACATAAATAACATGCTTTATTCTAGTTAGTTAAAAGTTTAATTTATTAAAACTGACCTCTAATATAAATGTTACCAATACTGTATCAGTTCATTTGAGATATAGGCTGGATGGCCAAGTGGTCAAGGTGGCAACCTACTGCTCCGGGAACCCGGGTTTGAATCTGAATGGGTTGAAAAATCCCTAAGAATTTTTTGGGGAGTGGTCCATCCAGATATGTTTGGCCCCATTTCTCACCACCTGGCCACCCCATTGTGGTCCTGGCAAATCCACAATGGACTAGCTAAAAGAGGCCCTCTTAGTGTCCACAGGGCAGAAAGAGTTAAAAAAAAAAAAAAAAAATTGATTTGAGATTTTAATATATTTTGAAGTTTTTCAAATAATTGGCAAAAATAGTAACATGAACTCTAAGCATCCTGTATACAGATTCTGAAAATGAAATTTGATGTAATAAATTTATTGATTTTTGGTCATTAATAAAAGATAAATGAGGATGTTTGTTTGTTTGTTTGTTTGCTATGCACGCCTAGACTGTTTGACCAATTGCTACAAAACTCGACAGTTATGTTCAAATAGCTCTATCTCAAATTGATATTTTGGGGTGATAACATCATACATATCACCTCAAAATATCAATAGGATTTTTATATATCAATTAATTTCTGTCTACTTTCGAGTTGCTGGCTTTACATGTAGTGCCATTTATTGGGAAAAATTTAAGAAAATAATAAATAAATATATTTCTTATAAAAAGGATATTTTATAAAAATTTATATTATATTCATTTAATTACCATGACAATGATATAATAGATGCGCTATTATGCCATTACTGCATCAAGTAGCAAATAGCACTTGCCTGCATGGATTGGAGTAGTGTTTCCCCTGTACATCCTACTTTTCCTGTTAACAATGGAATCATACCAGTTAGGTATCTAACTTCATTCAGAGAAAAATTTTTGTATTGAAATAATGTGACCTGCAGTGCAAATTGGAAGTTCTTAAATAGTTAATCTGGTTCTCCTGCTCTTAAGCTTTCCATATCTGATCTTGACTTTCATCTAACTAACTCTGTTCCCGAGAGTAAAGAAGGATAACCTTCAAAGGTTCCCTTTACTTACATGTTTTTACTGAGCTTTATTTTTTCAATCGATTTTTCAATCGCCATTTATTTATTTTTTATGGGATCACATAAAAGCAATTAATCTAGAATATTTACAATATTTTTATAACTCTTATACAAAGTCTTTCAGGTGTTACAGTTAGCAACATGGATCACATGTGGAGTCATCACAACCTATTCAATATAAATCACTTTTCAAATATTAATAGTTGACCAGCATTAATCAGTAACCATTGACTATCCTCTCTTCTAGGACTACTGTTTTTTATCAAATTAATTTCAACCCCTTCCTCAACAGTCCCTTCTTTCTATCAAACTCAGTGGTATGGTGGCATTCAAATAGGAAAATTACATAATACAAGGCTACCAGTGAGCACAAAATACGTTTTCAGTTGTTTCGAGGGTGCTGAGTTTAAATATTTGGTCTGTTTTCGCATAATTTTATTCATTGCCAGATTATCATTTGATATTTGGCTGTGAACTGCACAATTTGCTAGAGCTAACATTAGAAAAAATATATCTTAAATTTTTAAAGATATTTTCAATTGTAGTCTACTTGACCAATGAAATTGTGCCATTTTGTATCATCTGAGTATCGCAATAAACATGACAATGTTAGGCTAAAATAACCAAACTCTTTATATGGTTTTCATTTTAATGTTTGTTATCTATACTAATATTATAAAGAGGTGATGTTTGTAAGTAAATATGTAAGTAAATAAGTTTGGATATAGCAGGTAATCTCCGAAACTACTCATCCAATTTCAAAAATTCTTTCACCAATATTTAGAATAGAACTTCAGGCTGGACATAGGCTGTATATTATTCTGTTAAACATTCATATAAATTAAATGATATCATCTATGGTTAAGGCTTTTATGTCCAACAGATGGCGCTACGAGTATGATGCCCTAAGTTTGCTTTTCTGTGAAAATGAACTAAAGCAGATCATCTTCTATCTATTTATATTTATATTTATATTTATAGGATACGTCAACAGAATGTACACTAAGAAGAAATTTTTCAAAAAATTTTCCCCACCCCCACGGGGGAAGTGTTATAAATTTATAATAGATATATTTTGAGCCACAATAACGCGTGGCAGGGTCTGCTAGTATACTATAATACAATATTTTATAGTATTTGATTTATATAACTACAAAGGTTATATAAGGGTTTATCACACCAAGTGACCAATCTAACTCATTTTAAAAATTCTTTATTCCTCTATACAATTTAAAGAATTTTTTAAATGTGCTATAGTGGTCACTTGATGCAATAAATCCTTATGTAAGATAACCTTAGTACTTGATTTATATAACTACAATCATTTAATATAATAGAAGGGTTAGAAGTATGGAATAATCTAATAATCTTAATGTTTGTTCTTACTTTTTGCCTAGGCAACACTGGGCTTACCTGCTAGTATTTACTATATAAGATTCACTTATCAAAAATAGCATAAGATTTAGTTTTGGTTTGGCAGAAACTGACTTTAAAACCAAAATTCAGTTTTGGTTTTGGATTCAACTGCAAAATTCAACTTAGGCCAAATCTTATTGGTAACTGTAAAAAATGTAATGAAATCATATCCAATACCCAAAGAAAAGTATCAATACTGGTATCAGACCAAAAGTGCACGTTATTAAAGGAAAGTTCAATATAGTATTGTACTGGCAGTATTGGGATGTCCCTATGCATACCTCTGCTTAGACAGTCTTCTTTTTCTCCTTTTTTGAATTCTTGTAACATCTGCCAGCTTTTCTTTAGAAGTCTGTTACTTTTCTTTGAAGAGATCAGACTTCTGAAATGATTTCTTGTGGAGTACAGAAGTCCTTTGGGCTCTTGCCCCCACTCATATAATCTGTAACCTATAACCCTTTGTGCTGAAGACATTAAGAAGACCTTTCATTCTATAACAATTATGGTCCCACTATGAAGGTGGTCAAACAATGAAGGACAAGGCCTTCAACAAGACCATATATCCAAGACACTGCCCATAAAACAGAAGGCTGACAATTACTGCTTTGGTCATCTGATTACTGAAATTGGAAAGGAGTTAGTTACAAAGAATAGAATTTATTTATGTACATTCATCAAAAAAATAATAATTATTACTTCAGGAACTGTTTATTATTTATTCATAAAATGTTTTCAACCTTAATTTGGGTCTCTTCAGTATGTATTATATATCAGAACAACACATTTTAGGACACCAAATGTTCTAGCAATGACAAGTAAGTGTTCTAAGTGTATACCACTGTGGCAACTATGTGACATTTACTTCTTTAGGCAGTTAAAATTTTCATAGTGAAACTTTAGAACAATTCAAAGCTTCTCCAAGAAAATAAGAACTCTACAAAAGAGATGCCCACTATAAAAATTCATGCACTGGTACAGTACATATATAGTCAGTTATTGGTATCTCTCTTTAATGATATGCTGTCGTGTACCTGTACCTCTCAAAATCAAAAATAGAAAAATGTAGGTTTCTAAATGTTAGTGACATATGTTTTAGCAGTAGCACAAATGATAAATGTGGTTGTGGCAGGAATCCTACATTTATATATTTCGTACATGAATTATACAAATGCCTAATCCAGTGCAATTTTATATTATATTTTGTTTAAAGTACAACTGAAGAGGGCCAAACAATTTGGATGAAATGCATTTTGTAAAAGATGGCTAAATAAATGAATAATAAAACATCTTTCCAAAAATAAGGAAATTTTGTTCACTTGAGTCTCAGTAGTCAGTGGCAAAGGAAAGAAAAAAAATCATTGTATCCTCTCAATTGCATTACTAATGTTTTGAGTAATTATTAATGTTTAACACTTCTTTAATGAATTAGAACATTAACTAAGATAACTGAAAAAATAAAACATACGTTTTCAGTTTTGCGTCAGTTATTTCTTTAATCATACGTTGTAACTTTTCACGAGTAAATGGCTTTTTACCAGGTTTTCCATCATAATAATTATCTAGTATACTATAGAACCTTTCTTTTTGGGAAAACTGACTATCAATATTCTCATCAGAGACCTGTAAAATACAAATATAAAATTCATTTAAAATGTATTTTTAAAAATGAGATTTCTTGTTAGATAATATTAAGTAATTATGGTAAATATAATAAATAATATTATGTTATGTGGAAGGCAACAGGAAACCACCACATTACCTATTCCTAGTATACAAACGTATCTACAATCCTCATGATCTCATACCAACATACTTCTAGTCTGCCATGCGATCCGACTGGCCACTGGCACCATTCTGAGTCCAGATCAGATAGTGAGAAATATACTACTGGGTGTATATCATTGAGCGACCAGGCTATATGCAACAAATTGACTACTACTGGAAGACAAAGAAGAACAATACTCCAAAAATCATCACGAGGAACATAAACAACATAGGCACATGGAATGTAAAAATGCTGTACGCCAAAGGCAAATTACATAACCTTATATTAGAGGCCAAAGAACTGAAGATGGACATACTTGGTGTCAGTGAGACAAAATGGCCCAACAGCGGTTGGATAAAAAGCAATGACACACATGACTTTGTTTTCTCTGGAGGAGACCATCACGAAAGAGGTGTTGGAATACTCATCAGGAAAGACATCACGAAAGCTGTTGACAGAGTAACAGCAATATCAGATTACATTCTTTACCTGTGCATAGCATCATACCCCACGGCTATAAGCATTATTCAAGTATACGTACCTACAGAAGCTGCCCCAGAAGATGTCATAAACAAATTCTACGAACAGCTTGAGAAGACACTCGGACTTGCAAAAAGAGGAGACATCAAAATAATAATGGGAGACTTTAATGCCAAAGTTGGAAAAGGCAGAGTAACTGACATAGTAGGCAACTATGGACTAGGTGAAAGAAATGAACATGGTGATATGTTTATATGTTTATTTAATGCCGAAGTTGGAAAATGCAGAGTAACTGACACAGTAGGCGAAAGAAACAAACATGGTGATAGGTCATGGCGTTCTCAATAAACATATGTATCACAATCACATGGTACAAACAACATCCGCAAAGACTGTAAACATGGAAAAGTCCTCAAGACGGAGAAAACAGAATAGTACGAAATCAAATAGACTTCATCCTCATCAAGTGATACAGAAACTCAATTCACAATGTTAAAACAAGGCCTTCAGCTGACTGCTACACAGATCATAATTTACTCTATGCCAGGTCACCATTCACTTAAAGAAAGTTACAAAAAATGTCAAAAAGAAGTTACATTACAACCTCGACAGGCTGAAAATATGCGAGATCAGGCAACATTTTAGTGAGGCGATTGCAAAAGAAATCCAAGACAACGACATACCCTCTATAGAGAAACACTGGGAAAACATAAAAAGTGCAATTAAGAATGCTGCCTGTAACTTACTTAACAAAAAGGAAAGAGAGTGGAAGAACCCTTGGATCACAGAGGACATTTTGACACTGATGGAGGAACGCAGAAAGTTTAAGAACCGAAACCCTGGAGAATACAAAAAACTTCATTGGATGAACATGCATGAATGTGCCAAAGCTAAAGAAAAGTGGTTCGAAGAAAAACGTGAAATAATAGCAGAGCATGAGAAAAAGCACCATACCAGAGAAGTCCATAGAATCATCAAAGAAACCATGAAAGAACTTAAGAAAACAAAGAAGGGCATAACAAATTTAATAGACCAACAAAACAAAATGAAATGTGGAAAGGAAGAAAGAGCTAAAACTTGGACAGAGTACATCAAAGATTTGTTTGGAGATTGCAACAGACATCCCCAGGTTCATACAACAGAAGGAGATGCTGCCTCTCCTATTACCCTAAGAGAATTAGAGCATGCCATGGACTCCATGAGATGTGGAAAAGCTCCTGGTGATGATGATATTCCAGCTGAACTCCTAAAATCCTTGGGCACAACTGCAAAACTATTGTTACTAGATCTTTTTAATAAAATCTACAAAAATGGACAGCTACTATGCGACTTCAAAAGATCCACTTTCATCCCAACTCCAAAGAAGCACAATGCCAAGCGGTCTGACCAATTCCGAACCATAAGTCTAATAAGCCATAGCCTAAAGCTCTTACTAAAAATTATAGGATACCGAATAAGAAACAAAATGGAGGCTCAGATAGGACCATCGCAATTTGGGTTTAGACCTGGAATGGGCACTATTGATGCACTGTTTACTGTGAGAATTTTATCAGAAAGAGCCATAGAAATGCATTGGTTTCGTCAACTACGAAAAAGCTTTTGACAAAGTACAACACCTACTTTTAATGGAAATGTTAAAGAGAGTCAATCTAGACACAAATGACTACAAACTGATCGGCAACCTATACTGGGAAGTTAGACAAATTAGAAACAGCACTGTGTCAGATAGAAAATGGAGTTAGACAAGAATGTGTATAATCACCCACACTTTTTAATGTCTTCTCCAAACAGATAACACAGGAATGTTTCTGCGAGGATGTGGGGATCAGGGTTGGAGGGAGTGAATATCAATAACATCCGGTATGCTGACGATCTCGCATGCATTGCCACATCCGCAATGGAGCTCCAACAGATGCTAGACTTACTCCAAGCAAGCAGTGCAAAATATGTCATGCGTATCAAACCAAAAAAAAGATGAAACGGATAAAAATTAGTAAAGACTCCGTGATGAACAATTTCCAAATCTTCGTAGATGGTACTTTACTGGAAGAAGTAACCAAATTCAAATATCTTGGAGTCATTATAACAAGAGATGGTAGATGTGACAAGGAAATCCGAACATGAATCCAAATGGCGAAATCAACCTTCTCTAATCTCCAGCGAACACTTACAAATAAGAAACTAAGCCTGGAGATAAAGCTTAAAGTACTATGCTGCTATGTATGGTATGTCTTGCTGTATGGGTGCGAGACGTGGATCCTGAATAAGGGCACGGAGAAAAGACTGGCAGCATTTGAAATGTGGTGCTACCGCCGCATGCTACAGATCAGCTGGACAGAGCAAGTGACCAACGCACGCGTGCTGGAATGGATCGGAATGGGAGAGTGACAGCTGCTTCCTATCGTAGCGGGATGCAAAGTGAGGTACTGCGACCATGCCATCCGGGCCACCAACTCACTGCTTCCCGTCATACTGCAGGACAGGATCCAAGGAACCCGTTCCCGGGAAGACAGCGAAGGACCTACCTACAAGATATACTGGAGTGGACTCAAATTAATAAAAATCAACTAATTCACGCTGCGAGAGATCGGGAGGAGTGGCAATCGATTGTTAGCAACCTCCGGCTCAGAGAAGCTACACAGAATAGAATATGTTATGGATTTAAATATAAGTTTTGATTATTTTGAATTATATTAATATTTAGATTGATTTTTACATTTATAAGTTTAGTAGTATCAGAATTGAAACTAAATTAAACTATGTTGAATTTACTAATTGTAGCTGTATATTTGTTCAGTGAATGGTTGTCTCTTTAATCCGAAAATATTTCTCTCAGTAGACTATCTTATTGACCTGACTTGCTGTAAGATAATCTACCGAGAGAAATATTTTCAGATTAAAGAGACAATCATTCACTGATTCACTAAATTAAACTAATTTTTGTTTTTAACTGTAAAAGATTAATAATAAAATAAAACTTATTGATAGCAGAAAAGACATAAAAATAATTCTTTTGCTACAAATATTTTTATTATAAATAAACTTTTTACTTAAAAGGATTATTTATAATAAAATTTCAAGCTAATTTTATCAATTTGAAAATAATGTTATTTCTGATAATGTTTTATATAGGGTGAATCACTTGGGACTTAACACTTATTGTGTTGAATATCTCTGTATAAAATGAAAAGATGAGCATGAAAGATGAATGGAATGATTCTTTACTTCATGACAAAGTAGTTAATCAAGGTATGCTTTACATAATCCTAATTCTATCTGTTTAGTTGTGTCTGACTTTTGGTCGCTCTATGGATCAAAGCTTTACATTTACAATATTCAATGCTTTACATTACACAATATTCAAATATGAATGTGTAATCATGAAGTATCAAACAAAGTAAGTGTTCACTCCCAAGTGAATCACCTTGTATATTTTTGCTAAATATTACCAAGAATGTTACACATTGTATCTCCTTGATTCTGAGATGTACATTTTCTTTTAACCATTTTTACATGTCCAAAGTACAAATGCATCTTGCAGGTCAAAACAATAATCAGCAGTCATAATGAGCAAACCATGTGATATGTTATGCATCAATAATAGATATTTTTGGCTATACTATCAATGGTCATAATTTTAAACTGCTTTTTAATAAATAATGAAAGTTTTATTATATTATATTTGTTAAGACAAAAAATAAAGCATTACCTTTTCTCTTTTGTTTTAATCTTTTAATACTTAACTTTAATAACTAACAGAACTTATTTACAACTTTGCAACCAGACGAAACTCTGACGACTAACAACTTTTCAAGTGTTGCCAGATATAAATGTACAATAATTAACACGCCTCCTTACATTTATATTGTAACACAAAAAAATGTTAAATAAAAGAAAAGTAACAGCCAACTTGACAGCTCTATTAACAACTTATCTTAATCTCACACATCTTATCATCTTATATTCTATTCTTTTACATTTAACATCTCTCTATATTTAATGAATTTGACATTTCCTAATGCCTTGGTAAAAATATCAGCAATATTATTTTCTGACTCTATTTTTACAACTTTAATTTTTCCTTTCTTAACATTCTCATGCACAAAATGATAATGAACTTCAATATGTTTTGAGTTTTTTGTAAAGTTTCCATATTTAGCAATGGCCACTACACCTGAGTTGTCTTCATATACCTAGTATGTGATCTT